CACACACACTCACACACTCATTTCCACTTAACACATACATACCCGTTTGTGTGTTTTTTGTGTCACATGATGTTCTTATTCTGTCACGGTTTTCATTAGAATATTCTCCAGTGTTTATTGTATTTGTTTCCCCCGGGACTGACATGTGACAACAGCAGTGAGCGATTGTACTTAACCATCCCATTTAATGAACGACAAAATATCTGCACCACACACACATAAAAGAGAAAGATAAAATATCTTCCCTTGCTCCACTTTATCTCCTCTCAGTTTCACACACAAACACAAAACCCCTTTAGCTTCTCTTTGAGCATTTTGTTTTGCATTTATCTTAAGACCTGCAGGGATAATGTCTGTATAAATAGGAAGAAGATCTCTATCTTTGAGGACAATGAACCTTAAGTTGTGTTATAAATATATTATAAATGTATCAGATGGAGATCACTTAAGAGTTCTATTCATTTGGTCCGAGATCATCTGGTAAAATCTGAAATATAAAGAAAGTGGGGAGTTTTCCTCAAAGTGAATCTATATGTGATTCTGTTTCCATGCACCACGATGCAGTGAGTTGATTAATGGTGGCTGTAATTGCATGGGAAAACCTCACCAACAGAAGCTCTTATACACACATACAGTTTTGGCTCTGTGCTTCAGTTCAGCAGCTCTTGTTGGGACCAAAGCCCGTTTCCACCAGCCAACAAAATAATTGCCTCTGAGTGCAACAGCACAGAGTTTCTCATCTCACATGGCTCCATCTGCTGGTGCGGAGAGCAAAAAAGGGAATGGCTAAAAGAGGTATAGAGGAAAGAGGCAAAAAAATGTTTCTCTCTTTTAGCAGAGCTACGATAAACTGGACTTTTTAATATCCAGAAATGAAAACTAACCAATAGAATAATAACCGTTTAATTCACTTGTAATATCACTTTCTCCATCACACATCACTCACACTGCCGGCACAACCATCAGGGGTCATCTAGGGGTCAGCATCTTGCCTAAGGACACTTGGAACGTGGGATGGGTAGAATGGGATCGAACTGCCAATCTTCTGGTTTGTGGACGACCCGCTCTTCTTCCTGAGACACAGCCGCCCCTTTTAAAACGGTTCCTTTCTGAATATCTGAGATGAAGAAAATCTGGGGGTTAGAGAGAAGTGAGATTATCAGAACTCTTTGTCCTGCGTCCAATCACTGCTCCAAGGTCAGTGGTTGCGTTGCATTGTGGGCAATACAGGCGGCAGGTTTTGTCAAAGGTGTTGAGGAAAAAACTTTTCTCATTTAGCACCAATTTTTGTCCCTTTTTAGAAAAAGAATCATTATATTATGAAGTCTTTTAGGATGTTTTTATAATGATCTTTTACTTTTTCTTGTGTTCATTTTGAACATTTTCATTCGAAGTAGCATCACCTCTAAGCTGTTCTTCACTATATCTGCTGCACAACCACAATAACAGCTAATTATCGTTCATTGAAACAAGTCTACATTCCTGTCAGCAGCTCAGTTCTACTTGAGCAAAATGCTAATATCAGCCTCCTCCATTAGAATGTTTGAATGCTAACATCTGCTAATTAACATTAAATATTCAAGCAACACGCTGTTAAATAGCTAAACAAGAGCGGCCTCAAGTGGTGATTGATTCATTCCATTGAGCACAGAGTGTTGAACAGCTTTCATTTACAGAAACGTATCAATCACTGCTTTGACTGAACTGACGAACAGAGGATATTTATCAGGATTCACAGAAGTACTATCACTGTAACAAACACAACAAACTCTTTGTATGGTTAATGGTAAATGCACTGTTTTTATGTGGCAATTTTCTCGTTTTGATGACAGAACAGTTTGGCCACTTATTCATTCATACAGTGCATCTACTTTATGTGCAGCACTTTCTCTATCACACATCACTTACACACTGTGTAAACCATCAGGGATGTTTAGGGGTCAGCATCTTGCTTAAGGACACGTTGGCACGTGGGATGGGGGAGACTGGGATTGAACTTCCGGTCTTCTGGTTAGTGGACGACCTGCTCTTCTTCCTGAGACACAGTGAATTTTTTTTCTTTCAAAAAGTTTCCTTTCTGAATATCCGAGATGAAAGGGTTTAAATTGACTTATAAATCTTTATTACTGATCCACACTTCAGCAGCAGTTTAAGCATCAGGCTGCGGATCATAAGGGATGGAGAGAGGCAGCGTGTTTCCTATTACAAGTCAGTGTCAGCATCAGAATGATTTTCTAGGTCCAACAGTTGCCTACTTTTGCTGAAGTAAAGCTGATAGACTGTCATTAGCCTTGAGAAAGTTTGAACTGATGATGAGAATACATTTTTATATGATACAAAGACTTATAATGAAGACGGTAACATACGCAGCAACAGGTTTGAAGTTACACAATAATTAAAAAAACTATCCAGCAATCACAGACTAAGCTATGTCTCTCCTCTTTACCAGTAGATGGCAGCAGTCTGTATCAAGTCTCTTGTCAACACACACACACACACACACACACACACACACACTGAATACCACTGAAACCCCTTTTTCCCATGATGTCATAGCCCAGTGCCATAGGAATATCTGTCACATCCACTTAGTGTCCTGCTGCCTCCCAGCTCTCTCTCTCTCTCTCTCTCTCTCTCTCTCTCTCTCTCTCTCTCTCTCTCTCTCTCTATATATATATATGGGTGTGTGTGAGTGTATTGCTCATATTGAAGGGACCTAACTCTATTTGCACAGTTCCAACCTATGGGATGAAAAGCAGGTCTTCATAATGTAAATCATTACAATTTAAAGGTGAAGATTAAGGTTCAGGTAACGTTCGGTTAAGTTTAGGTTTAATGAATGTCAATATAATGTCCTCTGAAGTCATGGAGACTTGATTGTGTGTGTGTGTGTGTGTG